GTTAAAACATTAAAAGTAATAAGTTCAAATCTGTAGCAAATATAAATATTGTAATCATTTCTTATAAATACGATTTCCTAATGTAATTTTCCAAGATATTAAAGATCATAATGCAAAAAAACTAAATTTATTAAAAGTAATAGGCCTTATGTTTCTTAAACTACCTACATTTGTCAAAGTATTTATGAATTTTCGAAAATATTCGTCCATTAGTTTTATTGTTGGAATGAAATATAGCAAGACTTGCATTGCCTACTAAGTTAGTAAGTAGCCGGTAGTCATCAGGTTAAATGAAGTTCAGTCAAACTGGATTAATGTTACAAGTGGGGTACCTGAGGGCTCAGTGCTAGGACCTTTGATGTTTTTGATTTACATCAATGACATAGATGAAGGGATGGTCAATAGATTATTTAAGTTTGCAGGTAACATTAAAGTTTTGGGTGTTGCTGGCTGTGAGGAGGATGCTACTTCCTTACAAAAGGACTTGGATTATTTGGTGAGTTGGGCAAATAAATGGCAAATGGCTTTTAATTGTGATAAATGGAAGTATAATTTTGATGAGAGTAACCATAACAATGTTATGGAAGAAAAGGGTTTTGGTATTCAGTCTCTTAGGATTTTGAATTGTGTCTACAGGAATATTGAATACAAGTCAAAAAGAGGTTAAAATGTTATTGTACAGGTCATTGGTTATGCCATTTTTAGATTATTGTGTTCAGTCTTGGGCTTATTACCTCAGAAAGGACATTAAATTGTTGTAAAGGGTTCAGAAGAGAGCTACTAGGATGATACCTGAGATGGAAAGGTTATCATTTGAGGAACTTGTTCTCTTGAAAAAAGAAGAGTTAGAGGTGATCTGATTGAGGTGTTTAAGATTGTTAAGGGAATTGATAGTTTTGATGCATCATGTCTGTTTTCATATTTAATGGTGAGAATGGTAAGACTAAGGGACACAAATATAAATTTTTAGCAGAGAAGTCATCTTCAACTAAAAGGGTGATTAGCCTCTGAAACTGGTTATCTTTGGATGCAATTAATTTAAGAGAGTTTAAGGGAAAGCTAGATAAATACTTGAATGATAATGGCTGGCTTTGAGGTGTTTTTAAAGGGTTTAGTTTAATTTAATGGATAGGACAACCTATATCTAGACTAAAAGGCCCCTTGATGTCCTTTAATATTATATTGATGTTACGTCATGTTATAATCTGAAGAAATGAAGTCATTAGAAGCCTTACTATTTTTTTGTCTTCAGAGTGCATTGTCTTGCAAAGTCAGTCTCATCCCCTGCTTTTGATCATATATCTCGATTGTGGTCTGAGGGGCACCTAAGTTCTTAATAATTTTATTGTGTTTTAATTTTGCATTCCCTTTGGAGTCAAGATTTTTTATTAATCCTAAGTTGACACATTTAGCACCATCACTATAGCCACTTTGTGGCTTTAAGCCTGTTATTGGTTGTTCTTAGGAAAGTTTGCAAGAGATATCATCTTTTAAGTTTCTCCTGTGGATATTTTGTCTTGGCATTTCACAGTTGTATAAGTGTTTTGGTCAATTGTAGGTGAGAGGGATATATGAAATATACCTTTAACTTGAAATGCCATTTAATAAGGATGTGTAAGTTCCTTTGTGTTTCATTATAGTTTTTTAAAGCCATATATGAAAATGAAATAATTTGGCACTGTATATTTTATAATAATTTCTGTACTAAATATTTTTAGTATAAGGATGCATGCCTGTTGTCTAACACTATAGGCAGAGGCAATGTTGTTGTGATTTGTAAGGTTCTTGTTCCATACCATTTTGGTGCTGCATTGCACAATTATCTTATTTTTTGTCATAGGGAAAGGCTTTCTCATATTTGAGACTGGTATTTTCTTGACTAATCTACCTTTGGTGAAAGATCATTGATTTAGTTGTAAGTGGTTTATTGCTTCATCATTTTATGGAATGTCTGAGTGCTAATATATTACACATTGACAGGTAACCATTAGCTCATGACTCTAAGTTGTTGGGCCACTGGAGTGGAATGTGTAGTTACGATAGTTTTTGACTGAACTAAACTTCATTACATTATGTGATTAAGTATTGCTGCTACATAGGATATATAGTTGCTAATATGTATGTTGACTTAGTGTTGGATGTTTGTTATAAACAAAAATAGCAGTGAACAGAATTTGAAAGTTACAAGCTGATTGGTAAAGTTGCAGAGTCCTGTCTCATCCCATTCTTACTAAATTATCAACAGAAAACTGTGACTTGTGGAATTCGAGACTTGGTAGTTTAGTTGGTTAAAGCATCTGCCCATTAAGTAGAATTATGCATTAAAATCTCACATTTAATTTCTCCAAAAAAAAACAAAAAAAACACTACCAATGGACAAAATGTCTTATTTGTTCATGTATACAGTGCAGTAGGCTTCATGGGTGGAATCCTATTTCGTTGTTAAAAGTGTAGCTGGAGATTCAAGCAAATCTACTGCTTCAGATAAAATGGTTATTTGCTTCTATGGTAATAATATTAATAGTATGACCATACCCTCTATTTATTGTTTTAACAGCAAACTCTGCTTGTTAGTTGCTTGACTGCATTTCATATTTAGTACAGGTGAATCACCTCTTAAAATGTTACCTTGTGAAAGGTAGCATACACAAACTCATCATGGCTTTTCCAGATGCTCATTGATTGAGATTGTCAGTCAAAAGAGCAGCTGGCTGTCTCAAGTTTAAGATTTTGGTAAAGTTCGGGGCTCACTTCAGGCTTTCTTTGAATACTTATTCAGGCACTATCTTGTGTCTTATTTTTAATTACTGCTTTACAAAATGCTATAAGTATTAGCTTAAATAATAATAAAAACTACTAGATAACAAAGAAAACAATGGATTGTGCAGGACACAGAAATCCTCAATTTTGTGTAATATGTGGCATTCAGACCACTTGGTACATTTTAGATAATGTAAAACAATTCAAACATACATCTAATGCGCATCTGTGTATGTATATATATATATATATATATATATATGATTAACAAAACTCCAATAATTAAGCTCACCTGAGTGGTACCTTTTACAGCTGGCGCAGTCTTGAGGATTTTTGGAGTAGCTAAGGGCAGGTTGGTTAGAGTAAAGAAAGACGGAAAAAGTAAGAAAGTCAGCCGAAGTACTATAAGTAGTGTAAGTTAGAAATAAGCTACAATTAAGCAGTTATGGCTACTGCTGGTGTAGATACGACTACAGAAGAGTTGATAGAAGGGCTGATGCTAACCATGAAGCTGCAGCAGAGCAACCCACACAAATAGGGCCATGCGGTGCAACACACTTAACAAGTGCCATACTGCTGTATCATGGTAATACAGACGAGGATGTCGAAAGCTTTATCGATGCCTTAGACGAAGCAGCTAGAATATCAGGCTGGACTGATGCCGAGAAAGCTGATATACTACGTTTAAGAACAGCAGGAGAAGCTAAATGTTACATTAGGACTTATGGTGAGCTTCATGAAACAACAGACTATCAATACCTAGTGCATAAGCTACTAGACGAGTATAGGACACGAGAAACTACTAATGTAGAAATGTGTAACCTATATCAACAATGTGGAGAATCAGTCCGAGTTTTTGGACATAAGCTACAGGAGTTAGGTAATAGATTGTGCAAGGCTTATGCACATCCAAGCGAGGATATGTTGCACGATACTCTAAAATCTGAGTATGAACAAGGGCTATACAGTAATGCAGATAGAGGACATGTAAATGAAGCAAATACCCCTTGGGCAACTTTACTAGATTTAATTGAAGTAGCCACTCGAGAAGAGCTATGAGAAAAGCAGATCTATAAGTCTAAATGCAGTTAATAAGTCTAGCAAGGCTAATCTGTCTAATACACAGAATAAGCCTGATAGCTTTCAGTGCTTTAACTGTGGTAAAGTTGGGCACAAGGCAAGAAACTGCTTTCAAAAGCAGAAAAGAAATGAGCAGACAGTGTGCTATAACTGTGGCATTGCAGGCCACATAGCACGAGATTGCCGACATCCCCGAAAGGCTGAAAACAGAAAAGCCCCAAAGGCTGGAGCTTACAGAGGAAGGTCTTCCAATAATAATGGTAGACCTACCTTCACTACCGGTCCAAAAAACGTAATCCCCGCAGGGATTACAGAGCGAAAGTAGAGGTAGTTCCGGCAGTTTGGGATAAGCGATCGAGTATTCATAGTATTAATGAAGTATCACCAATAGTTAAAGTAGAAGTAGAAGGTATAACATGTCAGTTGTTGGTTGATACAGGCACTCAATCACCGCTACTAAGTTCAGAACCAGTAGTAAGAAATCTGACATTGTTAGATAATGCTTGGAAAGAAGTTTCCAGAAGTATTTTAACTTATATAACAGGACACCCTGTTAAAACGTTAGGTAGATATAATATGCAAATGAGAGTAGGAAGCTTAGAGTTAAAAACTCATTTTACATCTGTAAGCAGATAGACTTAGATACAGATTGTATTATAGGGCAAGATTTCTTAAGAACTTACGACACTGAAATATCTCTAACCCAAAGTAAGCTACGCATAGAAACAGAGGTCTTAGGTTTTGAAGGACTTGAACCTTCAAACTTATGTGCAACAGTTGCGACACATGATACCTTCCTGCTGACTAATAGTCAGATGCCTAACGCTAGCACTAGTGAGGCTAAGGATCAACCATCAGAATACGAAAGCATTGACTTCTTATTAAAGTGTAGTGACACATGGCAAAGTCGGAGGAGTGAGAATAAGAAGTCTCTTAAGGAAAGCCAAGGAATAGTACTGTACAGAAAAACTCTAAACCTAGCAGAAGTCATAAAGATAAGGTGAGTGGTAGTAAGATAAGGCAGAATAAGTTAATGAATAAGCCTTTAAAACAGGAAAATGATAATTTAAACCCCTCAGATGACTACACTTATGCCTAACATAAGCAACAAAGCATCCAAACAGGAGTGTTTGAAAGAAAGAGTTCCTGTAAGGTTAGTTAAGATAACTGAAGTACCCGCAAGAAGTCAATTCATAGTTGAAGCTAAAGTAAATGACTAAGTATAATGAAGAAGTGCTAGTTGAGCCTATCAAAATAGAAGAAACGGGAGTGTATATAGCTGCTAGTATTAGTAAAGTGTCCAAGAGAGACACAGTGACTGTAAAAGTTAAATATAAATGAAGAAAAAGTAATACTACTACCTAAGAACATAGTAGTAGGTAAGGCTAGTAGTAGAGAACAGTTGGCTGTGGTAGGACAGCATAGCATTAATAATGTTAATAAACAGGCACAACAAGGTAGGATAGACTGGGATTCTGTCTTTGGAAGTATAGAACGAAAACATAAACAAAGTTTGATTAATTTGTTAGAAGAGTATCGAGATATATTTGTAGGAGAAAATGATCCTAACGGTTGTACAAACAAAGTTAAACATAAGATAGTGTTAAACAATAATAAGCCTATAGCACAGAGACCTTATAGAATGCCCGATAAACACAGGGTTGAATTAAAAGAATGTGTAAAAGAGATGCTTGAACAAGGTGTAATAGAGGACAGTAGTAGTCCGTATGCATCTCCAGTTGAATTAGTTCCTAAAAAGGACGGAAAATTAAGATTCTGTGTGGATTTTCGTAAAGTGAACGGAGTAACTGTCAAAGATATTTACCCATTACCTAATATCCAAGAAACCTTAGATAAGTTAGGTAAAAGTAAATACTTTTTGTCTATGGATTTGCAAAGTGGATATTGGCAAGTAGAGATAGAAGAGGAAGATACAGCTAAAACCTCCTTCAGGTAAATACCAGTTTAACAGAATGCCTTTTGGCTTATGCAATGCCCCTTCAACATTCTAGAGATTAATGGATGTTGTACTGTCAGGCTTGCAAGATTCAGAATGTTTTTGTTACTCAGACGATGTTATAGTGTTCACTGCAAGTTTTGAAGAACACTTAGAGGTTAAGACATGTATTCGATAGATTAAGAAAAGCGATCTTAAAGCTTAAACCGAGTAAATGTCAGTTTTTGAAAAATGAAGTAGAATACTTGGGTCATATAGTGACCGTAGATGGTGTAAAACCAGGCCCTAAAAAGTTAGAAGTCTGTAGAAATTACCCAGTAAAAGATATTCGTGCATTTTTAGGATTTGTAGGATTCTATAGAAAATTTATACCACATTTTGCTTTATTAGCAAACCTCTAACTGAGTTAACTAAGAAAGAAACAAAATTTCAGTGGACAGATAAAAGACAGGAAGCATTCGAAAAACTAAGAAGTTTTATTAAAAGCACCAATCCTAAGCTACCCAGATGTTAATAAAGAATTCATTTTAAGCACAGATGATTCAGATTTTGCTATAGGTGCAGTATTATCACAGTTAGATGAAAAAGGTAAAGAACACCCTATAGCTTATCAAAGTAGACAATTAGGAAAAGCTGAAGTAAATTACTCAGTTACAGTGTTTGGAATTAAAACCTTTCATTGCTATTTATATGGCAGAAAGTTTACCATTATTACAGATCATGCACCATTAAATGATTAATGACACTAAACAACCCTTCTTCTAGATTAGCTAGATGGTCATTACTGTTACAAGATTATGACTTTGAAATAATACATAGACTAGGTAAAAAACATTCTAATGTAGATGCTTTAAGTAGAATCAGAGTAGAAAATAATGAAACTGTAGAAAAACAAACAATCAATCAGATAAAAAAGTACAATCCGAACATGAAAATGAATTAGAAGTAATTTGGGAATTAGATCATATAATTAGTGAACAAAAGAAAGATCCAGATATAAATGACTTACGCAGTAAAGTAACACAAGGAGATGAAACAGAATACATGTTAGATTCTGATGTTTTATGTAGAAAAGTTAAGGACAGTAGGACTTTACAAATAGTCATACCAGTTAAACTAAGAATAAAAGTCATGAAAACATATCATGACACACCTTTTGCAGCACACTTAGCTTTTGCTAAAACATATAGTAGAATAAGCAGGAGATTCTTTTGGTTAAATATGCGAAAAGACATTAAAGAGTACTGCGAGTCCTGTCTAGAATGCCAGGGACAAAAAAGTAGCCCCCATTTAAGAAACACTCCCTTACAAAGAATGCCGACTTTAACTACACCTTTTCAGCTAGTTGCTATGGGCATATTAGGCCCCTTGCCTACATCCTATGCAGGAAACAAATAAATACGTGTTAGTAGTCGCAGACTACTTAACTAGGTTTCCGGAGGCTGTATGCTTGCCTGCTCAGAAAGCAGAAACGATAGCTAAAGCTTTTGTAAATCACATAGTAGCAAGGAATGGTATACCCCAATATCTCTTAACAGATAAAGGTAGTAACTTCATTTCTAAGTTAATGAAAGAAGTTTGTGAATTACTAGGTGTAAATAAAATCGAAACCACAGCTTATCCTCCAGCTGCTAATGGTTTAGTAGAAAGATTCAATAGAACTTTGTTAGATATGATCTCTCAATATTGTGAGAAGGGTTTTAATATAAGCAAGCAAGTAAAGATAGATATAAAAAGAAAAAGTGGCGACAAAAAGATGCCTGTGTTACGAAATAACCCTTGAGAATTAATGAACAAGAACTTGGTTGTGTAAGAGTTATCACTTAGAAGTAAGCAGCAAGACACGTGCAGTACTTAAAATAAGTTTAAGAGGCAAGCTTGGAAATCAGTGACCAAGGTCAGCAGCAGAGTTAGAAAGAACTGTTGTATAAAAACAGGATGTTGACAGTTTGATGGAGTGCTGACCTCGCTCTCTTAGCACTAGGAAAGCTGCAGAAAAGCTTAGATTTGGTGAATCATATCGGCACTTTGAGGCAGTATTAGTTACAGCCCATGGGTGTAGCAGTACAAGTGAATAGGCGGCCGGCTAACGCTACTTATCTATGACCAATTACTTGAGAGTTTTTGTTTAGGTTCTGGTTTAGCTCGGGAATTCCCCTAAAGTATCCAATAGGAGCACAGGACTACTTGTGGGTGATGTTGTGTCCTATTTAGTGGGTCGAATTAACACAGGGAAATTAGAGTTTAAAAACCCATGTTAGAGGCTGAAAAGTAAGTTCTCCCAGACTGAAGAAAAGCTCTCCAGGGCTGAGAAGAAGTTCCAAGTTCTCTGCTGAAGTTCTTCATAATGAAAGTAAAATTTACAAACTTAGCCGCGGCTTCCAAAACCCCAACTCTACTGTAAGTATAGTCTCTCTCTCTCTTGATCAGGTAGTGTAGAAAATATTAAGTATAAACAGTAAAGTTTTTTTTTCATATGTAATCGTTTGATAAACTCATATTCTAAAGGTATAATGTTTTCTAATAAGTTATTGATGTTCAATAAATATTGTTTTGAGTATATACTGTTGGTCTGAGGCTCATATTCTTTAGTCTAACTGTAAACTCCTTGAGTTAGTGACTTGTGGCTCCACTCGTCACGACAAATCCCCCAATA